TGAGGAGTCGTGTATCTCAGAAACTACAACATCTATAGTTTTCAAATTTATCTTTGACATCGATATGAACATTTGGGGACAAAAAGGGCGGCCTAGGTACAGTAAGAACATTTTAAATTAGAAAATCTTAGAAAATATAACAGCTACAGTCTTTAAATTTGTTCGGAGTATATTTGAAACAATAATGGTCGGTCTTGCAATAGGGGGCTTGGCACTCTCCATGAGAATCTTTATCTATATATATAAAAATGAATGTTTGTTTGTTTGGACTTTATAGACTGCTAAACGGCTCGACCGATTTTTCTGAAATCTTCTCAGTGTCTTCCTCTATATCGTGCCACGCCTACATACAAAACAAGTATTAAAAGTAGCATATCTCAGAAACTACAACAGCTAGAGTTCTAAAATTTTATGGATGGACAACTTTGACATACATATAAACATATGGGGACTAGCTATATAGTGGGCGTGGCACCTCCCATAAAATCTTTAGTTAATATATCTGAGAAAATATACAGTTAGAGTCTTTATTTTTTCGGAGCCATTTTTGTATCAATATGAATATCTAGGACAAATAATCGGCGGACTAGCATTAATGGGCGTGGTACCTCTCATATGAATTATATGTAATCGTTTATCGGGGAAACTATTAGGATCTCCAATATAAATTAAATACTAAAATTCGTATTTTGCCCGAACAACTCTGACATCCATTTGAGCATTTGTTTCAAAAGTATAACACATACAAAATTTCATCGATTTTTTAAATGCGACCTATACCTCGGTTACCTATAAGGTTTACATGGTCGGGCGAAGGACGGACATGTCCTAATCGACTCAGAAAATTGTAATAAGTCGATTAGTATACTTTAAGCTGGGTGTAGGACTAATATTTTTGTGTGTTGCAAACATCAGCACAAACGTATAATACCTCCCCACTTCAAGTGGTGTAGGTGATATAGGAACCTAATCAATCATTAACTATTTATGTTTAGATTTTAAAATATACAAAAATGCACAATTTTATCTATTTCTATTTATCTATTTCAGGCATATTTTTAATGCAATTTTTAAGCGTCTCTGCCATACCCTGTGATTCCTGTGGCAATGAATGCGCCAATGCTTGTGGCACTAAACACTTCAGGTAAACATTTCGTTTTTAAAAGCAAAATTGATAAATTACTAATTATAATTAATATTTAACTTCTAGAACCCTGTTGTTCCTTAATTATTTACGCAAACGTACCGATCCAAATGCCATGAAAATGATCACGAATAAACGTTTAATCGATTTTATAATGTTTGCAAGGACGTGCTATGTTCACACAAAATGAATTGCAGTAATGAGAGAAAACAACAACAACAACAGCAACAAAAACAACAACAACAACAGTATGAGCATTTACATGAACAACAAAAATTATTAATACCACGATCAGCATTTCCCTTCAATGATGAAGAACGTCATAATGGCACCTTATATTGGAAGATTTACAGGCCTATTATGATTAAAGGAAATTTATAAACTATTTGCAAATAAACTTAGCGATCAGAATGATAATAATGACTATGAAAATATTGCTGATGATGACGTTTGATGATAATAGTGCTGTTGACGACAATTATAATATGACACTGATGTTTGAAATGATTTTAATAATGATTAACTATTATAGATTTTGTACAATATTTATTAGAGTAACAAAGAAATGTATGTTTGAAATATTAATTTTCTCTCTTTTTTTTACATTCAAATAATGCGGTTTTATTTGGGATTTTTGAATGAAACCTGGAACTATATTATAACGAATTTTATTAATAACAAATGTTTGTCTTATTATCGAAATATTTTTAGTGATTTATTAATGAATCAATAAAATTCACAAGGGCTTTGTCCTTTTTCCAATGACAAAATCTTGTCAATTGTCTATGGAATTGAGACTATAGTTCAGACTTAAACAAATGTTCAGACCAGATCATATAAAATAGTCCAGATTAGTAGATTATACAATAGTTTAGATCATAGACTATTCTTTTAATATGGACTTTATTTATTATAGTCCAGACTATAGACTATATTATAGTCCAGACTATAGAATAGACTAATCTACAGTCCACACTACAGACTAAGCTCTGCTTCAGACAATAGACTAGATTAAATATAGACTATAGACTGGATTGTAGTTAAGACTTTTCACTAGTCTATAGTCCAGACTATAGACCTAGACTATAGTCCAAACTTTAGCTATATTTTAGACTAAAGGACTCTTCTGGTACAGGGCTATAGACTAAATTGTAGACCAATTTACAGACTATAGACACGACTATAGTCCAGACTACAGACTGGATTATAGTCCATATTATCTATTATCTAACTATAGTCCGCACTATAGACCAGGCAATAGATTAATTTCAAAACTATATACTATACTATAGTCCAGACTGAAGACTAAATTGTACACCAGACTATAAAGTAGAATATAATCCACTCTATAGAATAGGCTTTAATCCAGATTATTAGCTAGACTGTAGCTAAAATATAGACTAAACTCCGCTCCAGATTATAGACTAGATTAAAGTCCAGTTAGTATATATTTTAAATTTATGCACAATTGCTAATTTTACCATTTGTATATTTTGTGAATAGAATACCAAAGAATAGGCAGATAAATATTTCTGATTTTTGACTTTAAAATAAATCTTTAATCTCTGTCATATCTACTCTCTTTCTAGAGATATACATACATATATCCAGGTATTTGTGTTTTGATTTAGTTATGCTGGAATTTTGTAGAAAAAAAATAGTTTTAAGTCAATTATGAAGTTTAAACAATGTCTAGAATCAAATTACAAAAATCAGCTGGGGCTAGGTGAAATAATAGACCAATTTCAGAATAGGCTTTCCCCTTGTGCCAAATGAACACGTTTAGTCTAAATTTCGTCGAAATAAGTGATTGGAAAATTGCACTATGTTCTTCAGAAAGTCATTCTGAGTCGATCGGTATACTTTGAGGTTCGTGTAGGACCAATATTTTTGTATGTTCTAAACATGATTACAAAACGCATAATACGATCACCACTATGTTGGTGTAAGGAGGGCTGAATACCCGCCTCACAGTATTCTTTGCGGACCCGAACAAAACAAAAAAAAAAAAAATATAGAAAACGTTAAAAATCCGTAGCTGAGGGGTCTTCAAGAAACTTCAGCTTTTAGACCACAGGATAAGGTTCCGTCTCTGAATTCACAAATTATAAACAACACTGTTACAATGGTGAAGGAGATGAACGGTCACCAAAAAGGCTATCTGGAAAGTTGCAAAAGTTGCTCTAAAAGATCACATTGAGACAAGCTGAGGACACTGTGATGTGTTTATCTGTCTCTTCTTCTTAAATCTTTTCTGAAGTAAAGAGTATCTGAAATCCGAAGAGTTGAACACTGGGAATAAGAGACCCCTGTCTTCGAATATACTGTCAAAGTTAACCCATAGGACTTTTAAAGAATCACTAAAAAAATCCTGGCAAATAGGGGTCAGTCCATCTATTAAAGAGCTGACGTCGTCAGCCAAATACCGACTTCTGAAAGAAGAAAATACCCATCATTTTATACTAAATATTGCGAAGAAAATATTCCGTGACGATCTATGCTATGTTGTTTTTGTAACGGTTCGATTATGACTGTTAGTTCCTTCCTGTGCAAAAAACGTTTGTTGGTTACAGCTGTTCTTGAGTTGATAATCTTTGGCCGAGTACGATTCTTTTAATTCCGTATCGAAAATCAACCCATAGAGAGCGAGTTCGTCGGGGGTGTGATGATCATGAGGTATAGAAAAGAGGGCCTTCAGGAATTTCTTTAAAATTGGCATTGAAAGGAATGTTACAATTAACCGTGATAAGAACAGCGATATATCAAACGTGTGCAGAGCATTATAAGACAATCAAACCCTTGGAAGTGGAAAGGACTAGGAAATACCAAAGGTAGTGTTCACAGTATCATTAGCCACGACAGGAAACCAGGAGTTGTCAAAGCCTAGAGCGAGAAAGTGATCACCAACACGTATTAAGGTCATCGAAATAAAGCTTCAACTGAACGAGACCGCAACCAACAAAGGCTGTGTCCACAGCATCATTATCCACTACAGGAAACCAGGAGCCTAAGAGAGAGGATGTGATCACAAACTCGCATCAACTTGGAGGGCCTTGATTAAGGTCATTCAAATAAGCTTCAAGTAAAGCTTCAAGTTTGATTGCTTAAGTAACTAAGGTAAGTTACATATTGCTTTAATCCAAGAATTTTGGACGTTTGAAAGAAAGTTTTCTGGAGTGAATCTAGTAAACATCCAACTTTTTTACTGCGATACAGGTTCTCGTCCGATATCATGGCTTTTTACATCGGATGCAACAGTAATGATCTTACAGGATCTTATAAATGAGATTCAGCGTCGGAAAATATCGGAAAAGCACTATTTTTCAGTTAATCTGCACATAGGGTTCGACCACCGACAACTAGACTTTGATATAAAATTTTAAAATCCTAAAACGTTTATAAATTAGTTGCTACCAATAAAATCTTTAACTAAAATTTGATTTTGTATCAATTGCTTTGTGTTCTTTATTATTTCTTTCTTTTTTTTTTTGGATTTTTTATAATTTGCAACTTTTTGTTGTTTTTTTGCTAGATTTTTATAAGTATAGTTAACATTTAAAAAATTTATTTTTTTTGTACATTTTTTTGTGATTTTTTTCTTTACCATTCTTAAACGCTTAAAGAGTTTTACCATAAAACACAGCTTAAGATCACTTCGTTGAATCCATAGGAAATTGTTTCTCTTGTTTTTTTTACAAACTAAAAACTACTTAAAATTAACTTTAAATAAATATATATACCAAAAATCATTAAGTCCTTTTAACGCGCCAAAATTGTCATTAATGTCATTAATTTTAAGAAAACACAAAAAGGAAAAAAAAAACAAAATAAATTTCATATCAGAATTTTCAAAAATCTACGCTGCCGATTCACTAATTTCAGTGGTAGCTTGTGTTCGGGAATCAGAAGCTGTATCATCTTTGCCACAAGCCAAACAGGGTATTTCTCTTTTAAGACTTGTTTGTATTTGGGATGACTAAAAAAGATATTATAAAGACCATAAAGAAAAAAGGTATAAATATTATTTGAGCACAACTCACCTCAAACCGTAGACAATGGGATTGCAGACTGAATTGGCTTTGGCAAACACCGAACCACAGATGGTGCTGAGCGGTGACAAGGCCATCGATTCAAATATGCCGGCATAGTTTATAATCGTATATGGTGTCCAGGCCAGAAACCATAATGATATTGTAACAAGTGCCACTTTAGCCAGTTTTATTTCCACCGATTTACCCTTATCCGCCTCGCTGTTGCGCAGCGATGCAACATTCATTTTTTTCGCCTGTTCACGCATCGCCTGCTCATGTACTCGGACAGCCTGTCAGAGTGGGGTGAAAGATTTTAAAATAAATTTGCTTTAAAAATGATCTGTTTAAGTATGTAAAGGTATTTTGATATTTTGTTGAATGATTTTTTTTTGTAGATTTTATTAAGAGCGTTATACATGCCTTGCATCTGATAAGTGTGTAATGGATTTTCGAAAAAAGTAGTGTTTTAAGTTAATTAAGGAATTTTAAAAGTTGTTAAAAGAAATTAAGCAAAATTGTATTTTTAAGACGCTTATGATATTGAAAATACATAGGAGTACAAAGTAGAAAGGACACTTTTTTTTAAATGAGCAATGCGGAAGTCTTGGTATTTATACCCTACACCACAGTGGTGCGTTCGTCAGTTTGTTTATAACGGCTAAAAATATTGGTCCTGTTTCCACCTTAAAGTACAACAATCTGCTCAGAATCCCTTTCAGATTCGATTCGAAGCTATGTCCGTCTGTCTACGTATCCCCTCGGTGGCATGTTACCTTGGTGAAATCTCCACCTTGGTGTTGCAATATCCCGGGAAAAAGAGGTGCTATCAATACCTCTAGTCTGCCGGGACTATAAACTGGTGATGATTAAATGTATCCTTGGCCTTTCCTTGGAATGATTTGATATGGGGTCTAACCAGAGTACCATATAATACTGGTGGCCTGTTGCACGCGACTTATAGTTGAGGTCCACCACTCAACTTGCCGGGGCAATATTGGGCTCGAATTGAATTTGGGAATTTCTACATCCTTTGTCACATTATCTGACATACTGAGGGATCCTGATTTATTGGCTGGATATTTTGGACTACCAAATACGTCTCTAGGTGTGTTGTGGTGGTTGCACGGGCTTTAAGAGGTTAAGGAATGCACTGGAATGGGTCATAAGTTGATGGGGATTGCATTTTAAATAATGCAATCTTTCATGACATCATAAGGGTGGTCACCTTCCGGTATACCGGAAGATTGATTTCACATGATGTTCGGGTAGTCGCCCCTTCTATTGACTTTAAACCAGTGATTGCTTTTTCCTTGTCGGGGTTTGCATTGGGATTGATCTCATGCTGCCTGTCATTCCGCAACGGGGCTACTAAGGCAAGAGATTAGACAGCTCGAGTTCTTCAGCAAAGTGCTTGTACATGGACCGGCTCAGCCATGTACAAAAGGATGAAAAAGACCACCATGAAACAAGGCCGCCAAGGCAGGTGTTCACGTAAAGCACTCTGTGTGTCCATATAAACATTATGTGCACGGTACAGGTCGAAATTTTCAAGATAATTTGATGAAATTTTGACACACAATCTTCCCTTGACCCAAGGAAGACGATTGTTGAAAATCGGTCCATTATTTCACCTAGCTTCCATTTAAATGTAATCCCCGAATAGAGTTTTTGAACTCATACTTATGTTACATGTTCTAGAATTATATAAGACTAAATGATACTAACGATTTTCGTAATGATCAGGCCATATATGACCCTAGCGCCTTTAGAAAATAATCTTACTTATTTTAGAAGTTTTCTTGCTACTTCTGCACCTTTTAGTTTCCCGGGAAATTGGAATTAGTTTGGAATTCAAGAACTTCGATGCAAGATTGAGTGATGAAAGACCTATACGATACATTTTATAATAAATGACAGAAATCTTTCGTGTTCATTTTACAATCTGTGGTTAAAAACTGCCCTATTCCTACTCAATTTATCAAATCCCTAACCTTCTTTCCAACTTCCCTCCTTATCTCCTACTTGTAAATATAGGGTGGTTGGAGCAGTGTCGAGTATCTGAATGACTAGTTAGTAGATTAGACGAAAACTTTAGATGTCAACATACAGATCGGTTGTTCCTCTATTTAAACATATATTCAAATATTATATTTGTCCATTATTTGTTATGTCATCTGAAAGTACAAACTCTCGATTTTAAAATAAAGTTTTAACTTCTGTTAGATCTTGAACTTTCAGATGATTAACTAATTTTATTAAAGAAACACTATAACGTCACTTTTTTTTATTGATTCTTTAGTAATCGCTAATTTTTCGCAAAATATTGCAAGTGAACGCTTAAAAGGTGCATTTTTGAAATATGTTTTTTCCGAAATACTCTAAAAATGATAAAATTTCAACTTAATTACCTTCATAATATGATAATACGAAAAGATAATCGTCATCAATGGTGTAAAATACACCCACACAGAATAGACAATAATATACGAACGATTATACCAATCTTTGGCAAAATAATCTGTACCACATGCTGTCATATTACCCTCGGGTACATAACGATTCCAACCGACCATAGGGAAAATAGCCCATATCAGACAAACACTCCAAATAAACATCAAACGTATAACGGCCGCTGTTATAGTCAAAGGTTTACGCGCTAAACCCTTAACAATAACACAATAACGATCGTAAGCAATCAAAGTCATTGACCAAATCGAAACACAACCGAAGAGCGAACCAAATAAACCGTACAGTTCGCACCAGAATGGGCCCATAATCCAGGTGCCATAGAAACCATTGAGCACGACGGGCGGGAACATGGTGAACATCATCATGAAATCGGAAAATGCCAAATTCACTACAAACATATTGGAGGGGGTACGCAACGATTTGGCGGATGTAAAAATATAGATGACAATAAAATTGCCACTCAACGACATAATGCCCAGGACGGTGATGATGAAACCGATTATGCCAAACCATATAGGTTCCATGGGTGGCCATTGATACCAGTAGGGATCCACCATATGTATAATATCAGCCGGTACACTTTCGGCCAAACTAACATTACGGCCACCACGTAGGTAAGCGAACGAGGGAGGATTGAATGTAGCCATTTTGTAGATTTAATTGGAACCGTTAGCAGTTGAAGGTTTTGGAATAATAAAACTGTACGTTGAGTCCTTTGAGTTTATATTGTTCCCATAATTTGAGCTTTAATATTTTGTTAATTGCTACACTTTCGTTTGAAATTTTGAACTGTTTTCCTTCGAATATTATTTTTTACCGCTATTCCTTTCCGTTCGTTAATAAACCGACAGAAAGCCGTCAAACTGTTATGTTTGATTTGTAAGAAATATTCCTTTTATATACAAAATTTTGTGTTAAGTATTTGTTCAAGTTTCTACTAATTATTTTAATCCAATTAGAAAGACAGTTAAAATTTAAACATGTTTTACAATTGTTTTTCTATTGTTTTATCGGTGGTTAATTTAGGAAAACAAGTGTGTGGGATTATGACTAAAAGTTTAAGAAATTTTAAATTATATACGTAAATACACTTGAAAGAAATTGTTAAGGTTGCTGCTTAGGTCTGTTAAGGACTAGTTTTGCGCTCAATTCTAAGCTTAGAAGTGAGAAAGAAGCTTTTAATAGACTAGACTATTGACCAGACAATAGACTAGACTATAAACTAAACTATAGTCATCAACAAAAGCTTGATGAAGTCCACAGGGGTACCCTCTAGAGAGGGGTAGTTAGAAGGTTGACAACTTCGTATATCCTTAGTCACCAAACCTGATAAAATAAAAAAATACAAATGAAAAGCCGAGATTATGGCTGGAAGGCAGGAGACAATTATAGAATGTAGGGATATCGATAAGATCTCAACAAGGAGGAGATTATGAATGCCTTTTTTCTCAACTAGGCGTATCCGAAATGGAATTAGATGATATTAAGAGCTTGAGGAAAGCCTATGGTGGCATTCAGACGGCAACAATAACCCTTCCATCGGAAATATCCGACCAAGTCCTACAAATTGGAAAGGTGAAGATAGGATGGGTCGTTTGTCGCATAAGAGAAAGGGTGAACATACGACAATGCTATAAATGCTTGGAGTATGGACACATAGCCAAGTATTATAAAAACCCGCAAGACAGATCTAAACTGTGTAGAAGGTGCGGAATAAGTGGCCACATAGCGAAGCATTGCACAAATGATCCAGAATGTATGCTCCGCAAACAAATGCAAAGGGGTGATACCAACCACACCGCAGGTAGCGTAAGATGTCCAGTTTTCAAGGAAGCACTGGAAAAAAGGCGCAGATGAGATTTATCCAACTTAATCTCAACCATTGTCTTGCGGCACAGGACCTGCTTTCGCAGACTATCTGCGAAACTGGTGTTGATGTCGCCATTATATGCGAACAACACAAAAACCAACAAACAAGTGTCTGGGCTAAGGATAAATCTAGTAAAGCAGCGATATGGACATGTGGAAAACGTGCGATTGAGAACACCCAAAAACAACTGGAGGAAGGATTTGTAAGAGCCAAAATAGGAAGCATCTACATATATAGCTGTTATGCCCCACCTAGCGCATCAATAGAAAATTTCGAACAAATGTTAGCTCGACTGAAAAGAGATGCGGAAACCCATAACCCGAAAATTATCGCCGGAGATTTTAATGCGTGGTCTACTGCAAGGGGAAGTAGATCAACTAACAACAGAGGTCGGATCATATTGGAAACTATAGACTATAGACTAGACTATAGACTAGACTATAGACTAGACTATAGACTAGACTATAGACTAGACTATAGACTAGAACTATAGACTAGACTAGACTATAGACTAGACTATAGACTAGACTATAGACTAGACTATAGACTAGACTATAGACTAGACTATAGACTAGACTATAGACTAGACTATAGACTAGACTATAGACTAACTATAGACTAGACTATAGACTAGACTATAGACTAGACTATAGACTAGACTATAGACTAGACTATAGACTAGACTATAGACTAGACTATAGACTAGACTATAGACTAGACTATAGACTAGACTATAGACTAGACTATAGACTAGACTATAGACTAGACTATAGACTAGACTATAGACTAGACTATAGACTAGACTATAGACTAGTAAAAATAGAATTGAAAAACAAAATGTCAAGGCTAAGATGTAATTAAGTAATGCAGTAGGCATTGAAATGTAAGTTGTTGCGTAAGTACAAGTCATTACAATTTTATTGTTGAGTATATATTTTACTTCAAACTATTTTTTCTCTAAGTGTTTTAAAATTTTTGTCTTAAGTAATTATTCCTTAACGATCAAAGTCAAGGCCAAGTGAAAATTCTTCTTTAAAATGTTTCTAGTGTTTAGTCTTGTCAGGGACTAGCAAAATAAACTAAACACTACAATAAATAGCATAAGACAGACTGTCAGACAGTCAGTCAAAAAGGCAACAAAAATTGGATTATACTCGCTTATGGTCAATTGTTTCTTCTTTCCCCACTTGAAATTTAATTTTAGACAACTTATTTAATGTTGTCTTTGGTATTTGTTTTATTTTAGAATATCAATTTAAATTTACACATTTCAATTGATTTTCTTTAGTTTTTTCTTAATCCCAAAGTGACGTTACGATTACAGACTACACACAAGAAAATAGTTCTTATGAGGGGTCACGTGAGTACGTAAAATCTTAATTTTGCAATAATCCATGAAACACTATTAAGACTTATCAAACGTTTCCCTTCCAATTGCTATTTATATAAAAGTTAATGAACCGAAATATTGAAAATAACTAGTTAATTGATTAATTAAACGTTTGCATTTTTTTGCTGTAAAAATAAAACAATTTAGAAATTATATAGTAATTTAATTTTAAATATCATATTTAAATCGTGCTTATTTTGAAGTTCTGAAACACTGAAGCCTAGCTAGGCGAAATTAAAAGTCACTTAGTTAGACGTATTACATGACATATACGACTAAGTTTCAGTGAGTTTGACCCCTTAATCTTAAAAACAAATTAGCAGAAGAAGTCTGCTATAGATATAAAGAACATGTACATTAGGGTGACAACCAAAAAGAGGCCGTATTACTACGTAGCAGCAAGTAGTGTTCTAATAACGAAAACCATTTTCTAAAATCATTTTAGTGCACAAACCTAACCCTCTATAGTCCAGTCTATAGTCTAGTGTATAGTCTACGTAGCAGCCAGTAGTGTTCTAATAACGAAAACAATTTTCTAAAATCATTTTAGTGCACAAACCTAACCCTCTATAATCCAGTCTATAGTCTAGTGTATAGTCTAGTCTATAGTCTAGACCATAGTCTAGTCTATAGTCTAGTCTATAGTCTAGTCTATAGTCTAGTTTATAGTTCAGTCTATAGTCTAGTCTATAGTCTAGCCTATAGTCCAGTCTATAGTCCAGTCTATAGTCTAGTCTATAGTCTAGTCTATAGTCTAGTCTATAGTCTAGTCTATAGTCTAGTCTATAGTCTAGTCTATAGTCTAGTCTATAGTCTAGTCTATAGTCTAGTCTATAGTCTAGTCTATAGTCTAGTCTATAGTCTAGTCTATAGTCTAGTCTATAGTCTAGTCTATAGTCCAGTCTATAGTCTAGTCTATAGTCTAGTCTATAGTCTAGTCTATAGTCTAGTCTATAGTCTAGTCTATAGTCTAGTCTATAGTCTAGTCTATAGTCTAGTCTATAGTCTAGTCTATAGTCTAGTCTATAGTCTAGTCTATAGTCTAGTCTATAGTCTAGTCTATAGTCTAGTCTATAGTCTAGTCTATAGTCTAGTCTATAGTCTAGTCTATAGTCTAGTCTATAGTCTAGTCTATAGTCTAGTCTATGGTCTAGTCTATAGTCTAGTTTATAGTCTAGTCAATAGTCTAGTCTATAGTCTAGTCTATAGTCTAGTCTATAGTCTAGTCTATAGTCTAGTCTATAGTCTAGTCTATAGTCTAGTCTATAGTCTAGTCTATAGTCTTGTCTATAGTCTAGTCTATAGTCTAGTCTAGTCTATAGTCTAGTCTAGTCTAGTCTATAGTCTAGTCTATAGTCTAGTCTATAGTCTAGTCTATAGTCTAGTCTATAGTCTAGTCTATAGTCTAGTCTATAGTCTAGTCTATAGTCTAGTCTATAGTCTAGTCTATAGTCTTGTCTATAGTCTAGTCTATAGTCTAGTCTATAGTCTAGTCTATAGTCTAGTCTATAGTCTAGTCTATAGTCTAGTCTATAGTCTAGTCTATAGTCTAGTCTATAGTCTAGTCTATAGTCTAGTCTATAGTCTAGTCTATAGTCTAGTCTAGTCTAGTCTAGTCATAAGTCTAGTCTATAGTCTAGTTCATAGTCTAGTCTATAGTCTCAGTCTATAGTCTAGTCTATAGTCTAGTCTAGTAGTCTAGTCTTAGTCTATAGTCTAGTCTAGTCTAGTCTATAGTCTAGTCTAGTCTAGTCTAGTCTATAGTCTAGTCTATAGTCTAGTCTATAGTCTAGTCTATAGTCTAGTCTAGTCTAGTTAGGTCTAGTCTATAGTCTAGTCTATAGTCTAGTCTATAGTCTAGTCTATAGTCTAGTCTATAGTCTAGTCTATAGTCTAGTCTATAGTCTAGTCTATAGTCTAGTCTATAGTCTAGTCTATAGTCTAGTCTATAGTCTTAGTCATAGTCTAGTCTATAGTCTAGTCTATAGTCTAGTCTAGAGTAGTCATAGTCTATAGTCGTAGTCTATAGTCTAGTCTATAGTAGTCTATAGTCTAGTCTATAGTCTAGTCTATAGTCTAGTCTATAGTCTAGTCTATAGTCTAGTCTATAGTCTAGTCTATTCTAGTCTAGTCTATAGTCTAGTCTATAGTCTAGTCTATAGTCTAGTCTATTGTCTAGTCCATAGTCTAGTCTATAGTCTAGTCTTTAGTCTAGTCTATAGACTAGTATATAGTATAGTATAGTATATAGTCTAGTCTATATTCTAGCCTATTGTCTTTGTCTATAGTTTAGTCTATAGCCTAGTCTGTAGTCTAGTATATAGATGTTCATATAAAAAGTTAAAGTATCTAGCAATCTATTAACAATAATTGCATATGGCCACTTT